AGGAAGCCGTTTGCTATACAAATGAAGTTGCCCTGTAATCCGATCTGACTTCTGGAATAGCTATCTGGGCTCCCGCTAAACCGTACTTGCCAAATTGCTGACCCCGAGTTGGGAACAAGCCCAACGCCGGATATTTCGTATGTTACACCAGTGAGCAAGTTCCATTGCTTTTTCAAACATTCTGGTTTATTTTCGCATATGGGAATATTTGTTGGTATGCATTTTTCTAATCATAGATTCTGTAGACCATAACGTAGAATCTGCCGTTAGCGTTGTATCTCTTGATGTCTCATCTCTTTCGGAAATGGATCCTCCCTTGTGGTTTAGTTATTTAGAGGCAGAATTTTATATCCACTGAAATTACCACGGACTACGCTCTACACAGCAATCTCAAGTTCTATCTCCCCAAAGAGACATTGATGCAATTTCGAGACCTGATCATTCCTCTGACCGAAACGCACATGAAGCGCTCAAGGAGGCTGAGATTAAACATGCCATTCACCCTGCAAAACTCCAACTGCAGCAAAAATTCAGGGATTTACAGTTGCGAGACGAAATTCCTTTAACTCATCAAAGAGTGAGGCATCAGGTGCTTAGCTCATAAGCAATGGGCGAGACTCTACTTCCTAAACTATGACTACAGACTACCGCAAAATAAGCAAGCGGTTCTCCCTATCGTTATTTCCATATCGCTCAACCAACTAGCTGACTTAACCGATCAACTCATTGAATGATCACAGACATAAGCCGACGGCAGCGAGGTCAAAGCACTCGCGTCCCAGGGTACTTCTACCACTCGCATACACACAACCATAGAAACCCTGCAAAAACAACTTCTGACACTTTGTTGCCAAGTCCAACAGCACACCACGAGCCGTCGCCGTCACAGACGATTCAAATCACCCACCAAACGCTACAAGTCCAACAACAGGCAGGATTGCTGTTGGCGCCCCCAATGATTTGTGCCGCAGATCGCAAATTTGTCAAGCCTTCCAACTTCGCCGAAAAGCAGGGAAACTACTCAGACGCGACGGGCCAACACTAAAGTAACCTCATCCGTGTTGGGGATTTAACTGCCGGCACCAAGTTCATAGTCGACACCGAAACACAGGTTACCGATATAACCGTAGCTCAGATGAGGTGGTCTCACTCTCGTCGATCAGACTGCGTGCCGCCAAGTACACACCAATCGCAACTTTTGGCGAGAAGCTGCTAACGCTCAACCTAGGCCTCCAGCGTACCTTTCGGTGATCTTTCATAGCAACAGCCATGCCTTTTCGCTATCTTAAGCATACATTTTCTATGACACTTCGAACTTATCGTCAACGCCACAAGGAAGCAACTTATTGACTCTCGCACACAGCTCAGTATTATCGAGAACAGCGTTATTTGTGTTCTGCCTCAAGTTTTACAGCTGTCGACAGACCTCTTCAACTAGCATCCTAAATTCGTTTGCGTTCGGAACGACTCGCTATTTTTGACTTCAAACGTCAGGCATCAAATCTGCACTAACGGTCCACCAGTTTCAGCCCGCCCTCGCAGATTAGGCCCAAGGAAGTTGAATGTGGCAAAGACGGAATTCGAGCAAATGCTAGAACTTGGAATGACCCGCGCGTCTAAAAGTCCATGGGCGTCACCATTACATATGGTATCCAAGGAATCCGGTGACTGGCACCTCTGTGATGACTATAGGGCGCTCAAGGGCGTTACTTTCCCGGATAAATGCCCTATTCTTCACACGTACTTATTAAACTTAGTTCTAACTCTTAGGTCGATCATTAGCAAAGTGGGATTTAGTGAGCGCCTACCATCAGATCGCGGTGGCACTGGACGATATTCCTGAAACGGCGGTCAACAAGCGGTTCGGCGTCTAGGAGTACCTCATCATGTCTTTCAGCCCCAGCAACACTACTCAAACTTTTCAACGTTTCAACCATTTAATGGTAAACGATCTGGAAGCAAATATTCCGGATCATTTCGGCTGCTGCACGCATGCCGTGAAACATCAAAGATGACCATCCAGCACTTCAGCCTCATTCAATGGGTATTCGAGAACTTGGAGCCTTTTAATCTCCAGCAAATGACGCACATCTACGTGGGTCTTTATGTGGAGTATGCCATCAAATCTTGGTGTCACTAGCGCACACACAGCCTTTGTTGGCTTCGAAGGCCACAACATAGAGTGGTCAAAATAGTCAAATGCCTTTTTCACTTGCCATAGCAACTCGGACTGCCAGCATAACTTATGCAGTAGTAGACATCAGCGTCCCTGAGCACATCACACCATGGTTTCCCTTGTACCGGTGGACACAGTCACGCATTTCGCAGTCTGTTACAATTCGGCCATATCACAAAAGCTTACATTCCAAACATACCACTCATTACAGTCTATTAGATGATCGACCAGGGTTTTCACACTTCACGTATTCAATAATGCTGCACTATCTGACAACTATCAATTTGCCCTCACATTGACGAACTTCAAAGAACATCTTAACGACGTACATGCTTATTTGCTTTACTTGATAAAATGCCGTTTATGCGGTAGAAATCGTGACGCGAAACAGGGTTTTCACCACGAGCATCGATAATGTAGCGGAGGGGAAACTTGCATCAGGATTCATGTGAATAGCTTAGGAACCCACTTCGAACTCGAGTGTTCACCCACTTTTCCTGTCGACCTCAAGTTAGGTTTCACAGTCCTCAGGCCACTGAACTTGTCAAACAATGGATTTCGCCCTCGTCATAAATCCTCGTTTATCGTTCACCATGCATGACCGTCCGCCTACTAGGCACACATGGTTGGTTGATGCATAGCCGAGCTACAGTGAGTTGTCCAGTGTGTAAGCGTCAAAACACTTAGGAACTGTTGAGTTATACGCGTACTCACCGCTTGTCCAATTTCAAGATGGGAATGGATTGCAAATCACGGGAAACCTATTCACAATCCCTAGCAGATAAATATGTCCCGCGATAATAAAACAGCCAAAGTCGGTGGCATTACGGTGCTATTAAATGACGATAAAAGCTAAAAGGTGACACACCTCAAACGCGTTCCGCACACCCAGTATCGGAATCAAAGTCTTCGGTCGAAACTGCAGAAAACCGATCAATGCGCCAATCGATGACAAGAATGAGTAGCAAAATGGGTAACAGACGGGTTGTCTCAAAGCCAGCGTCGCAAATCGGAAATGATTAGCCAGTAGAAGAAAGCACCAATAAAACGGTTCTGCTAAATGATTCATCGACACAAGATAGACAGGCAAGCGTGTTTGTCCCACACAGTCAGAGCAATGAGTATTAGGTCGTGCGCTGTAGTGTCTATTGGTACTTCAGCATGGAAAACCACATAAGCGAAGTTAGTCGGTACACATAGGCTGGGCTGCATGTACAAAAGTAAGCGGATTATCGATCTACATGGTATGGGTAAGAGATAAATAGAACTGAGACCCAACATATGCAAAATAAGACGAGAAAGCAGTAAAAGTCCAATGGTAAGGCTCTGGGAAGGAAAACGGGGACACAGGCTCCAAAAGAATTGCACAGCTTGTTTGTCCGATACAAGGGGAAACACTCACAAATCCTATCTCTAGCTAAAGCGTGCAGACCTGTACGAAGTCGGTTGTTTAGTCGCTATTGTGAATGGCTAACTCCTTGCATGTACCTGTGTCCCATTCAACTGCGTTAATCGAGTGCCATCTGAGCAATCAGTAAATGATGCTGGGTGGATGTAATCAATACCGGGTGTCGGCAAGCAATGGACGCGAGGTGTATTGACCACGAAAATCTGGGAAAGGTATTTGAAAACAGTATTGGATGGTAAATGTTCACACTTAACCGAGTGCAGCTGAGGCAAGTATAGGAATGTGAATGTGAATCGGAAGCAGGGCACACGATGGTTTGTGGAAAGATTACGACAGGGCACCAAAGACCCCGAGGTACGGAAGAGTGTAAGGACCCTTCAGCGACAACGATGGGTCTGACCACGAAAAGGCGAAACCTCTGATGGGCTTGTGCAATCAGAGGAACGAGACGGATTTACATGACGAACCAAGTGGCTAGCTTGTCGCAAGCGAACGGAGCAATTGTTTGGACGTCTACGCATATTTTAACCATGCGCTGACTCGTTTATATTTGATTGCAATGAAATGAGTTTGTTTGAGTGGTTCCAAAGTAGGATATGCTGGATGCAGAGGCGTCGTTATGTATAGAAGTAACCTAGTTATTAAGTAAGGATTCTAATTACCAGTTGTATTGTCCAATCTGCTGTTACTGATTTGTCGAATAAAACATATGTCCCTGAAGCATGGACTGCTGCTACAAATACCGCCTTTGGGATGGATAAATTGTGACAAACATGACAAGAATGGACCTTACAGTCATAACCTCTTTCTGTATCACCGTCCGCAAGATGGCGTAAGCATTCCTAATGGACAACCACCGACTGGTCATAAGTTAATGGATAGTGTGCTGTTTGGCGCTCAATATTGAGTTTTACTACTCGAAACTCCGCACATCTTACTCCAACAAGGCCGTTATCGTAAATCGCATGCGGTCTGTTTTGTGGGCTCACAAGAGGTTACTCGACACCCATTGAATATACCACACGGTTGTGCCCAGATTCCATATGTAGCTTGTAGTACTTGCTTGCCCAGTCGCATTCCCAGTTTGCGTACATAACTGCATGTGGTTAATTGCATTCAGCCACAGTGCGAATTACAGACATCGGACAAATTTCGCCTCTACAACGGGACCATCCAAATAAGGAAAGTTGGAAATGTCTGTACTAAAACACACTCGAATGGCTGTACGACGTGTACGATTCATCTGGAACGATAGACGCGGGTCGCACTACGCACCTTGTCATTTGTACTTCTTCCACTCGTCCAAATATCCACACAACCCAGTCTCACGCAATCCTGTGCTAAACCGTGGGTTGGTATGAAGCAGTGAACACTTGACCAATGATTAGGTGTATTCCAATGGTTAAATCCACACACTCAAGCGACCAAGTCTTGTCCTTGCCCACGCCACTCAATGCTGATTGGGATGCGTGCACAGATGGCCGTCTGACCGTTGGTAATCAATTTCCAATCGACTGGGAGTGTAATCTGAAACAAAGTAGATATAAGAGCAGTGTCAGTACTTGAACAAGTACTCATGTGAACAGCTCAAACATGCCCGTCGTTTTCGTTGTTAAGGCCCACTAGGACTAGTCTAATCCAGTCGTGTGCCCAGACGCCTTAGAGATTAGCAACCAACTTGGCGTAATCGATGCTCGTGAATCTCTCGAGTATGTGGGAAATACTATTTATGTAAAAAGCGTTGTTATCATCTACGAGAAGTGCAGTGTTGCCAGGATGCAGTTTAGCATACGCGTATGAGACAGCGAGCGTGGTGCAAACGACAGGCATTGTCTTCCAATGCACACACGCACCAACTGCGGACGGGCACTCTGTTCAATCGCTGAGGGGCATTGCAGGAATTTTACGGGTATTCAAATTATTCAGGAAGATGGGCAACATGTATTCAACTGATGAGAGACGGCGTTTCCACTTAAATGGGACTCATGGGTGCCGTACAAACACACGAGTCAGCTGGGACTCACGTTATAAATTGGGATGGTGAAATTTCTATTCCATATTAACCATGAGAGAACGGTTGCCAAATGAAGGTGAGAATTCTCTGTCAATCATCAATTGATACGACATACATATCTGTGCTTCTGTGTGCACCTTCACATTAGAAGAGTGCTGACATTAGAGCTGCAGCGGATATGTTTATTGAAAAATGCTCAACTGTTGTTCTACTTTCAGTGGCAAATAAATGCTTGCACTGTTTCCAACTTCAAACTCACTGATGGATATGAGGTCTGGACAGGTAGAGAATAAGTGAAAGTGTACACGGTTCCACCGGCTCGGAGAGGACATCTGGGTCGCATATAAGGACAAATGTAGGAATTCGTCAGGTTGAACGGTATCTCTTGCCCGTCAATAATTCCCGAAAATAAGAATGTCCCGGTCGTGATGCGTCGACCTGTGGGAGTTTGAAAGTGTAGGTGAGAGAAGTAGGCATCAGCCAGTCAGTTTACAAATGTCTAGTCCTATAAGTGCGTGTCCTGTGTTGCACTTACTTGTTGTGAATTTCACTGTCACACGAGTGTTCTCGCCCTTGTACAATATGCACGGACTGCTGTCGCATGGAGTCACGCTTACCTCACTCAGTGAGCCCATGGTTGAGCCTACAATGAAAACAAGTAAGCAAAAGAGGAGCGTTATACTGATGTAGTTCAACAATATTCTCTCAAGAACATGTACAATGGATCACATGTTTACACACGGCATCCGTCAGTGAATGAAGAGACAATGGAAAATGAACATTACGGGTTGAAATGTAAGTGCTATTGAGTACTGTGTGATGGCCAAATTAAGCGACATCAGTGTAAACGGAAAGGTTATGACTAATTGAAAGCGCCATTATATGCCCAATATTATGTTAACTCGACCATCGTGCAAAAGTGCCTACCTCAAGTGTGTAGGGAAAACTATCCAGCGCGTCGCTTCTCGTGCTATATCCTTTCCGAATGTATATGGTACTAACTTACTAGTGCATACAAGGTTCATGCAGCCTCATATGACTTATCGAACATTGTTAATGTGGAGGCAGAAACAGCGTAATTGGAAACGAGTTAATGGCTAGTACGAAAATGCCTTATTAACACTCCAGTTAGTCGGATTGTTTAATCAGAGAAATCCAGCCGTCTCATGAGATTATGCTGCGAGTAGGTTGCAATTGATTGCGTCAAACATGGCTGAGATTTCTCGGCTTCTGGCACGACGTTCTAGGAGCGCAGAGTACACGCCACTGTTGAACATTTTCCACCGTAGCACAACCAAGCTAAGTTGCTATAGAAGGGAGAACCATTCTTGGTATGTTTAGTCATTTTTTTTGAGGAATTGTGAGTGTGGTGGGCTCTTGCTTCTGCCATAGCTGCCATGCATTGATGCCGATTGCCACAAGAGACCACACGTATCTGTCATGCATCTTCTGCCAAACGAATTCAGCAAATCATTCTTCCAGTCACCGCGGAAGACCAACGTACTGATTCCCGGTCTTTGGAACCTTGGAAAGATTCACATATCCGAAGTCAAATGGGTGAGGTTAGCTCAAGCTCACGCTCACGCTTCTGAGGAAACTCTTGCAGAACTTGATTCCTCAGCATCTACATACCGTTTCGTCGGCAGATGAAACACATTGGAGCTCAGTCCTGGACGTTAATGCACAGACTCGGTCCAGCACATGTTGGAGTTTTGCGTGTTCTCCATTGCACTTAGTCGATCGTCGTTTCATAACGTTAGCCGCTCGAAGCGACGTTCAAAGGCGATCACAGGCACAATGTTATTATAGAAGACAATTGGTAAGCGCGGCCGTGGAACTGGTTCTAGTGGAACTCCCAGCTCGTCATTGATCCCATTTGACAATGCAATCCTATTCAACCGATTACCTTCAAAACTCACCGCAATCGGTGTATTCAGTGCCACTTGTAAGCTGCGCCACCTGAACTAACGTAATAAGCAAAACGGCAAACTGGTTCATTCTGATCGTCCGGTATAACACTTGGGCAAGTTGTCCACAACAACTACGCTTGCACATTTATACCACAAATGAGCCGTGTCTCACCACTCTCCAACTAGTGGCGTGATCCACCATGCTAAATTATCGTACGATGATTTCGGTGGAGCACAGTTTTCCCTTTAAACACTGCGTTTGCCACACAAGCAGCAAATCCTGACTCCATCTGAGACTGCGAGTTCTCACCGATTGACCTCGAAAACAAGTCAAATTCCTTTTATGGCTGAGATACAAAATCTGAGATCATAACAGAAACCCATAGATGAACGGAACAAAGAGTGGCGGTTTCCCATTGACCTTGAAACTAGAAGCAAGGTTTAGATTGGCAAATGAGAAGAGGACTGTTCTTGTATCGAATGACAGTTTGATGCAATGTTGACATTGAACTACAGATACACGCCTTCATCATATTTTCCATTCAATTCGAATGATGCACTGGCTATGCTCACAAGTTGCTGAGGTTGCCCAAAACTGACCAGAACATCTTTTATTTTCGCTAATACATGAACAGGTCAAACACGATTTATTTACGCTGATGGTTACCTACACATTAACCTTCCCAATTGGATCAGATTAACAAAGCGTTTTGTGCTAAATCGGACGCGGTACGACAACATAATTTGTAAATCTGCATACGTAACGGTTTTTTCGGGTATCATTTTGTGAGCGTTAGCCCGATGTTTAGCTGTTTCATTAGGCTTTTAAAGCATTATGTATATCACTCAGCTTAAAGTTCATTTATGTTGCTCTAAACCGATTGCTGTTTTGCCGGCGAAGTTATAGAAATTGGATGCAGCAACCATTCCGATGTGTGCAGCTGCGTACGTGCTGGTCGCCAACCGTCGATTGTGGTATTCACCAAACCCCTGACATATTAAGCACATCTACGATTGTACATTTCCATGGCCCAAGTTATTGGACTTACTGGAACAAGAAAATCAACATTTAAACGTCAGATACCGACTGTATTCGTACCACATTTGTAGCAAGATCAGGATTGTCGGGCAGTTGTAGGTCCAATAGTCGTGCCACCAAGAATCATCATCGTCATCAGTGGAGATATTGAAGGACGACGACAGCTTACCGTAAGCCCTCACTTTGCCCGCGCTGCGCGCCTATAATGCTCGGCTAATATTTACATATTTCTCGGCACGTTTTTCCTGAAAATACAGTCCCAAAAGGCACATGCATCAACCGAATCGAAGGCACTTTGATGTTGAGGAACACGACTACGGTGGGCCGCCAATATGTGTGACGTTGCTCTAACAACTGACGTAAGGAGAAGATGTGGTCGATGCAGTCACGACCCAGACGAAACCTGCCTTGCTCCTCATGGATCTGGCTTTCACGAGCGCCAGTCAGTCTGTGAAGCATTACGGAGGCAAGTAATTTGCAGGCGATGGGAATCAGACTGATTCCTCTATAGTTGTCGCATGCCGAACGCGAGCCCGCTTCGAAGAAGGGAATAATAACGGAGCGGCTCCAGTCGGTTGGGACAGTTTCCTGCTCCCACAGGTTTAATAGTAATTCATATTAATCAGTAACAAATGCAGAGCTTCCGAAGTTGAAGTGGGCTGGAGGAAGAGCATCTGGTCCCGCGGCTTTGTTCAACTTCAATAGTCCGATCTCACGTTCCACTTCTGAGCGAGAGGGCGTATCCAATGGAACAGCCTAAGGAGCGAAGCGATCACTGTCCAGTGAGGAATCAAACAATTCCGGCCGATTAAATTGCTTTTCAAAATGCTCAACCCAACGCTCCAAAAGTTTTGACAAATGGTGCATATGCTGCCCACTCTCATCACAAATTGTCTTACTAACACCAGGTGTCCTGCTGCCCGTTTCCCGTGTCAGACAGAATAACTTTCGATGGTTACCAAGGGCAGCGGCCACTTCCATCTTTGACGCACGAAGAGACCACCAAGATTCGCGGTCTCACTCCAGGCTATCACGGAGTTTTGCCCGGAGCTCATTGCGAGTTTCATGGTGTTTGCTTCCGGCCGGAACATGACGGCGAGCATCGATAAGTTCCAGAGACCACGAAGAGACCCAATGTCCATGTTGTCTATTAGATTTAGCACAGAAGGATTTAGCTTCTGCTAGTAAGGTCTGGTGAACATGTGACAAGTGACCTGCAATTGTCTCCAGTGAACTCTTACTCAACTCGCATGCCAGCGTACTTTGATAGGCATTCAGAACAGCTGTCTTCGCCAGTTGGCTGATGTCAATGCGCTCACAACGTCGTTGTGAGCGTCGGCCAAAACGCCTCCGCATGTCAGCACATACAAGTGCATGGTCGATGTCCACACATGTGCTCCAAATCGAGAGAGAGAGTTCTGGACGCAGCCTCCCTAGCGGTAACTGATTGTATTCTGATCGATTTGCGTCCAAGGTTGGTTCGAAGCTGGTGGGCGCCAAGTCACCCTCCGACGAGTGCTTTGTCGGAAGTTAATGTTCGCAAGAAATAAGCAGGCATCTTCACACAAATGAAGTAACTACTCTCCGTTATCATTACGGGAGCCTACACCGTGCTGACCGCCCAGATGCATTTCATCAGTGGACAACTTTCCAACTTGTGCGTTCAGATCCCCAGCCAGCACAACAGTGTCCGTGCTTCTTCTGTGGCGAAAGAGCTGGGCCAGTTGACGATAGAAGTCGTTTTATGCCGAATCATCGCTACAGTTTGTAGGCGCATAGGCAGCGATGATGAATAGATAGCTAGTAGTCCCGCGCGACTTTGAAGTTTTGAACGGGCCAGCCAACCGGACCGCACACATCCGGCTACTGATTGGAATCCAATCAACCAGAGCAGCTTCAGCACGGGGACTCAGGGCAATGCCAACACCAGCTTGGCCGGTGCTCAAAGGTGCATCGTCACCGGATAGGCGCAATGAGAAAATACTGTTTGCGTCACCTGAAGGGGATCGCAGAGTGCGCACAATGCTGGAGTCTTGCAGGCGGGTCTCTGATAAGCAGCAGATATCGATCGAGAGGGTCTGCAATGTTCGGGAAATTGCTGCCTGTTGACCGATCTGTAGCAATGTGTGTACATTGAGGCATGCCAATCTAAAGGAGGATATAGGGCTCCAAATGGAAGCCGATGAACTAGAGTTAATCAATTGGTTAGACATGGGCTTGTCGACAGGGCAGGAGTGACGCTCCGCGTTAGTAAGTGAGTTCAACTGGAAGATAGACGCCAAGCAAATCATGTTGGAGGAGGGTCAAGAATAGGGGGTTAAAAACTGGGGATAAAAGTGAAGTTGGAACGAGACCATAAGGGAGATAAAGCGTAAGATGGTGAATAAGAAGAGTGGAATGCTTGAGCAGCAGCATCCAAACCCCTATCCACCCTGCTCGATGCAGCAGATAGGGCACCGTTGATTATCCTCTGCGGTGGCCAGAGCATCAGGAATTGGTTTGAAGAGAGATTCATTGTATTGCTTGTGCCGGATACTGTCAGGTTGCTCAGACCTAGGCAGAAGAACGATTAGAGGTCTCAACCAAAGCCTTTGGTTCAAAACCTGACCGCAAGGCAGCGGGTATGGCGTTGGGCTACAAGGAGTCCGTTTCAAGGAATAAGGTTCCACCCACATTCCAACCCCCA